CACGTCCCAGGCGAAGAAGGCGTCCATGACGGCTTGGTCTATTGTGTTGATATGGAAGGGAAACAAGATTGTTCTAAATATGATCAAAACCAGGGTTTTGTTCAAAGCGATCCATTCTACCCTTTCAGCCAAAGAGGACAGATGGTCTTCTAACATTGAGACTTTCCAACCTTGGATATTTCCTTTTTCTATCAGGGTAGTCTGCTGGAATGACAATCGGATGATGGCAGCGACTTGTGTTGCAGAAGTATATGCCTCGTGGCGAATATGGACCCCGACTGATTTAGGCCATTTTAGCATAATCTCATACTCCTCCAAAGTAGGCACCATATCGAATTGCGAGAATTCGAAGCAGTGCAGACTAGAGTTCCAAAAATGAACTAGAACCTTGATAAAAATGGGATCGACACAGATCTTTAACAGGTCGAGAATCCATCCATAGGATTTTTCGAAGTCAGAGCGGACCTCTGGTGGCATTATCGCGCAAAGTCGTTCTAGCTTCTCAATATGGTACCGGGGAATGTCCACTTTCTTCAATTGTCTACTAGTCCCCTCCATTTTTTCTAAAAACCAAAATGCATGTTTTATGAACATGATGCCTTATTGTGGGTATGCATGCGAGTGTTTGTTTTTTTCTATTTATCATGTTTTATTTCTACATGATGTATGATATTATTTGCGTATTTATTTTCAGAAAAATAAACTACCTATATGGATGATTTATGATTTTAAAGTTTATGAACAAGGTCCCATTTATTCGATTTGGGTCTTTATTTGATTTTATTTTTGTTTTAGAGCCTTTTATCTCTTCTGTCGGACTGCGTGACTACTTAGCTTACAAAGAACCTGAAGCCAGACTAGCTAAAAGGCAGATTGTCCGAGATAAAATGGTTTATTACGAAAGAATGATATTAGCGTCCCTTATCTCTTCTGTCGGACTGCGTGGCTACTTAGCTTGCAAAGAACCTGAAACTAGACTAGCTAAAAGGCAGACTGTCCGAGATAAGGGCGTTTATTGTAAAAGATATTTTTTTTCTGTTTTTATCTGTTGTTTGGTTATGTTATGCAATCAAATGCAACAAACAAATGCACATACAATTCACTCATCCACGATCAGGCGAGAAGTCGTTTTAATCACGAGGTAGGGTTTTCTTGCAGAAAAGTGCATTGGCAAGGGTAGGTTTTAATTGTTCTCACCAAGGCTTAGGCCCCCAAGGTGCCCCCATTATAGGGTCCCCACTCTCCAGCCTTCCGACCATGCTTAGCATTAAGGTCATAGTCAGTCTTTGTGCCAAAAGAGGAAGGTTATCACCTTGAGTGGTGGTTTCCGATCATACCGGTGGGCACATGGCCCTCACTACGGCAAACCGTACCTGCCACCCACTCCCTATGGATTTCTCACTTGCCCCCGGGTATAGGGGTAACTATTGTGTGCAAAGGTTTGCGTACAGTTTTTATTTCAAACAATTGCGCAAAATAAACAAACAACAGTTATTAAAGTCAAGCAATTAAAGCATGTTATAATACAAGGTAGGGTAAAAGCGAAATTTCTAAGTTTATTTATTAAATTGGCCTATCACTAAATGGGATCAACTCTCTAGGCTTCCCCAGTGGAGTCGCCATCTGTCGCTGCCATCAAAAAGAGGCGGTCGGAGCGACGCGATGGTTTTGACTTTCCGTTTTTCGCGTTTTTATGGGTGAGGTTACAACGCCTTTAGGTTGTCCAATAACCAAGCTGAACCTAAGGGCGAGATTTTCAAAAGGGTGTTCTTAGATCGTCTGATAACTGGACTGACCTAAGGAAAAATTTGAGGGGGTTCTTATGGAGTCGCCACCGATGTTTTTACCAGAAACATCGAAAAAAAAAAAAAAAGGCACTGGTTTTTTAAGAAAAACCAACTTTGGTCGTTAAAACTAGAGTTGGGTAAGGGGGTTAGTTACGTGTAAGGGAGGTATTAGCTCCCTTACGACGTCCCTTTCGGGTTCCCTATGATGGGTCGGTTACTTTATAAATAAACTTTTTGAATTAACGCTTTTACCCTTTTATTTGCGGAATAAAAATGATGACTACATGACCCTAATTAACGCATATATAAATAATAAAACGATAAAAGAGAGAGAGGGAGAATGAAGAAACCTCCGAAGCAAGCTTTGATTAATTCTTGTGAAAAATAGGGTGCATTTTGGCAGCCCTTCACTCTTACAACATCGAATTCTCTCTCGAAAATGCTATAAAAACTCTCTTAAAACACTCAGAAACTCCAGAAATGTTTTGGAGGGGCTCTAGAAGAAGAATTTTAAGAAATTGCAGAAGGAAAGGTGGAAGAGCTTTGTGAAATGAAGGGGAGAGCGCTCCCTATTTATAGGGATTTGTGTCTGTCAGGTCGTGACGATCGTCTCGCCTGGCAAGGTCAAGACGGCGGTCTTGCCATTCGGGACAGCAGCCTCGACTTTGATAAATGATGAGATCGTCGTCTCGTTTGGCCAGACGACGGTATCAACTTACGAAATGGCGAGAGGGTGGTCTCACCAAATGGGAGGGTGGTCTCGCCAATAGCAAGTGGCGAGACGGTCGTCTCGCCAAACGAGACGGCGGTCTCGACTTGCCATTGGTTGAGACGGCAATCGCGAGAAGCGAGATGGCGGTCTCGACCCCAGAAGGTGGGAATCCTTATTTTTTGTACAAAAAAGTCTTCCTACTCTAATATGGGGCCTAATAGTCTTTCCTAGTGGCTTTTTAGGCTTTGTCCATCTTCGAATAGGAGGTCTTTTGCTCTTTATTTTGAAGCCAGGCAAGATTTGGGGTCTACAAGGATCTATTGCGGGAGGCTCTCTACCTGATGAATTACAAGTTTGGTGTAAAGTTACTGGAATAAACAAAGGCAAGGTGTATGGGCTTGGATTTGAGTCAAGCAAAGCAATTGAGAGAAATCTTTGTCAGGACTCTACTTCATCATTTGTCCAGCTTATGAGAGAGGAGATTGAACAATTAAAACACAAGTTACATAAAGTTGAGACTGAAAGGGATGATATTCTTGGAAGAATGTTAACCAATGAGAGACAAATTCAGAAAAATGATAAAATGTTGCTCCTCTTGATGGAGAAGATGGATGTTCAACTCCTGAATTCTGAACTGATACTTCTATTCTATATATTGTATTTGTTTTGTTAGTTTCTGACATCTCCAGAATTGACTCTTACTTTCGTTTATTCTACTTATTTTTAGATTGAATTTTCAATATGTAAGAAAATATTTAATCTATCAATGATGAATTTATGTAGAACAAAATTTGTGATATTATTTTGATGGTTATATCGGGTAGTGTAATTTTGATATATTTAATACAATATATAATATATTTCATATTCATTAATCAAATTTATCGTTATTTTAAAAATAAAAAAATAAAAAAATAAAATTAGTGACCGATATAGTGACTTGTTTGATTAGTCACAAAATCGATCATTGAATCGGTCATCGAATCATCATCGATTCGGTCATTGAATCGATCCATCGATTCGGTCACTGATTCGGTCACTAATTTGGTCACTGATTCGGTCACTTAATCGGTCACTGAATCAGTCATTGAAATCAGCGACCAAGGAAAGAGTGACCGATTTGAGTTGGTTAGTATTTCGGTCACTATTTTAGTTAGTGAACAATTTTGGTCATTTAGTTTCCAAAAATTCGGTCACTATTTAATGTTTTTGTTGTAGTGTTCATTCTATCATAAAGTTCAATAAGATCTTCATCACTTTCACAAGATAATTTTTACATATGTTATTTTGAACTTTTTACATTTGACTAAGCTTTAACGTTAATATGAGAGACGTAAATTTATGTTAGAAAAACTAACTGACGTAAATTTACGTCGGATGATACCATAATCGACATAAAATTTTACACTGTTTCGAACCCATCTATCTTACCTTGTAAGAGAAACTAGAGACGGAAAGAGATCTCGAACAGATTCGAACTAAATCTAGCATGGTTTCTCAAGGAATGCAATCAAGTGCACATAATAATCTCTTCTTTCTCAGCCATTCTCTTTTTCTTATCTTTAGACACCCCTTCTTCTTCTTTATCTTCTTTGAGTACTTTTAATAATGTTACCATACCCAATTCTTGCAAGTGTTAACTCATCCACTTCCAAATGGAGACATTCATGCATTATCGTAATTAAGATCCTAAAAATAGCACAAATTCCATTTCGATAAAAGAATAAAAACATATGATCTCAATCACATATTAGGTACCTAAATGTTACAATCTAATTAGAGAGAAACATCAAGAACCACCAATGGATTACAATATTACTACCGCTCAACATGATCAACATGTAAGGACACTATTATATTATAATTTTTATTTTAATAATGAACTTATTTAAAATTTTAAATTTAGCCTTATATATAAAGAAGTATATATTGGAACACATGTTTAAATAAATATGTAAAAAAACATGGTATCATATTTTTAACACAAAATATAAGCATCTCCTTTAGGAGCAATTTATATATATTGTTTTTTACTTTCAAAAATATAAAATAAATATTTATGATGCAACATTATTTTTAAGTAATTCAATATTAAATTTATTTTATTGAATTTTTTTAATAAATTTTAAAAAACTTATCATCTCTTCATTTGCTTTGATGTATTGATTTTTGTAAGTGACTTGATAAATCAACTCTAAAAACAATTAAACAACTTAGTGTACCATATAAAATTTCTTCAATAAAAAATTATTTGAACTATCTAATACTTCAATATTTTGTTTGTTTCTATAGTAATAAGGATTTGAAGAAGAAGATTTGTGAGGATATATATTGGTTTACTTATGCTGAATTGAGTGGATTTTAGGAAATGGAGAGGTGAGTTCCACACTCATAAATCCATTATGGAAGATTAAGAAAATGGATAGTTAAATGATAAATATTTAAATTGTCTTCGTTAATTTTTCTCATTTCCATGAATATCATATTCGACTTCACAAAGATCAAATGTTTGGACCATCGGATCTGGGAAAATAAACATTGATTCCAGTCAACTTAAGAACGGTGAGAGATGAAATACAAACAAGGGGAGGTACTTTGACCGCACAAGCATTCACATTCATTCGGAGACCACAAGCATTCCTATCCAGCACCAATTTCTGTAAGGACTGGGATTTCCAAAGAGAATGTGTGGAAATCTCAAGATTTCTGTTTGATTCTATTGAAAGCTCTTTGACTCCTCGGTTTAAGAGGGCAGATATCCACTGATTAATATGGTAAGCATCATAATCCTTTGTAAGGGAAAGAGTGAAACCTTCCATGCATTCAATGCATGCAATATTCAGATGGAGCAGTACTCTATACATAGAGTGTATAAAAGGAGTTCTGCTAATGTTTTGGTGATAGTACAACTTTTTATCGATAAAGTGAAGCTTAGTGATGGTTGTCCACATGTTCTTCCATCTCTTGGATAAAACACAAAGAAGAAAAGAGAGAATGCCACCAATAATGACATCGGTGGGTTGTTGATTATATCTCGATCTTCATCAACCTTCTGCTTCTTGGAGGAGGACCCTAATGAGTCCATGTCTGTTTAGATCTCCTAAAAAGAAAAAAAAATGTTAACCACATTGTAAAGCTATACTCACAACATCATGTAAGATCTAGAGCGAAGTATGAACATGTTGTTGGCAAATTTTGGGTCATGTATATATATGATACATAATCTGAATGTGTTAGGGCCATTATTTATTAAGCCAAATAATAAAGTGATCTAACTAAGTTAAAGTTTTGGCTAAAGGCATATGTCATGAAAATAAAATTTTGTAGAGACCATAGAGCAATTTCTAATTTGATGAGGGGTCAAATTAGAAATACTAAAACTTGTGTAATTAACCTAATTCTTGTTATTTAAAGGGTCGTGGTGCCCTTCTGGGAGCACACACACAAAACATAAGTCTCAGTCCTGTTCCTTTCTTTCTATCCCCATCAAGAGAGAAAATCAAGAGGGAAATATAGGTGCTCTTCAGGTGGAAGACCATAAGATCAATAGTACTCTACAAGGATATCATCATTATGGCTAATTCAGGTACGCCTTTGCATTCAGTTTACAGCATGTTTATGAGTATGGGATAATGTTTATGTTTGATCGTTAGAATCAAAATCAAAATCAGGATCATAATTATTATTAGTTTTCCAATAATTGGTATCAGAGCCGCCCATACTTGATTCATGTCTGTCTTAGGAAATATTTAAAAAGTCATATTCTGTTTAATTTATAAAATCCCAATTACCGTGAACCCTAAAATTTAAATTTGGGGGTAACATCCCCAATTTGATTCTACTCGCTGATGGAACCGTGGAGGAAGCTATGGATTCTTCTTCTTCTTCTTCGTTTTTCTCTTTTGTTTTGGTTTAAGTTTCAAGTTTTACTGAGAAAGAAATAGTGTTTCAAATTTCAATATTTCTTGTATTGGGTTCTCTGTTCTCTTTAAATCTGTTGTTTTTGTTTTTATTTAATTTTCTGGGTTTTGTTTTTGTTTTCTTTTCATGGTGGATATGGATGAGTTTGGAATTGGGGGTGGTGTTTGGGGAGTTCCCAACACATAGGATCTTAGGCAACTAGGGAATGTTTACCAGGTGTGATTGTTCTTATTTTTTTTAGGAAGTTAATGTTAAATTCCCTCTTTAAAGTTTAAGTGGTTGTCGTTAAATCCCTTTTTTAGGGTAAAGGTGATTGCAGTGTTTCTTGAGCAATATATTAAAGAGGATCAGAACTATCTCTGTTTCATCCCTAGTGTGATTCTAGGGAGGTGTTCATCCTTTGTGTATTGGTGGAAAAGGAGGTGTTTTTCATCCTTTGATTTGTTCAAAGGAGGTGTTCATCCCTAATGGAATTTTGGGGAGGTGTTCATCCTTAGTGGGATTCTAACGAAGTCATTATCTTTTGAATTAATTTGCAAATATTAAATATTTGGTTTTGTTATATAAATAAAATATTCAATTTTTGGTAGTTTAATATTTTTGTGAGCAAATTGAGTCAAGAAGTCACCAAAGTAACCTCTCTTGAATTGGGCAGTTCATGAAAAATATTGAATGTTAGTGTTTGTGTATATTCATGCGAGTATTAGTCATCTGAAAGGAAAATTAATATTTGGTCGAATTGCATACACACTTGTAATGATAAACATGTGATAATTATAAGGATTTGCTTTGTCGATGATAAATCAATCCAAAGACTGGTTTGTTGTTGGACGTGCTTTATTGTCAATGTTTGATTATTACAACAAGATACCTCTAACAGATTAATATTACTCGTCCAAAGACTTGATATTGATGGTGCATTGAGTGCCTTGAGATGGGTTAAACCATTATTTGAATATATATTTATAATTATTTATTTTTTATATAATGTGAGCATAATTAATTTATTTCTCTTGTTCTTAATTCAACTACAATTGTTTCTATATCTGCCAATTTAAATTTTGTTATGATCCTCAAAAGTATGTTTCCTACTTTGGTCTGTTCTGAAGTCAATTTAGTGTCAGTACCTAGTAACACTTGGTGGTTAGACTTAGGTGCAACTACTAACATCAGTGTTTCTATGAAGGGTTGTCTAAGCTACCGAAAGCCAATTGATTCTGAAAGATGGATATATGTTGGAGATGGCAAATCGGTAGAGGTGGAAGCCATATGGCATTTTAAATTATTATTGAATACTGGTTTTTATTTGGATTTGAAAGACACTTTTGTGGTGCCGTCATTTAGACAGAATTTGTTTTCAGTTTCTTATTTGGAAAAATTAGGTTATTTGTGTTCATTTGGAAACAATAAGTTCAATTTGTCTTTTAATTCAGATATTATTGAAACTGGTTCACTTTTGGCTTATGATAATCAGTATTTACTTGATATTGTGGCCACTTATAATGAAACCCTTAATATAAAATCACGTGGTACTAAACGTAAAATTGAAAATACTCACTCAGGTGCATTATGACACAAGTGCTCAAGTCACAATCGAATCATGGCGCTTGGGCTTGTGTTACACTCTTAAAGATATGATAAGGAGTATGATTTGTCATTCCACCTTACCGGAATCACTATGGAGAGAGACACTAAAGACAACAACTTATATTTTAAATAGAGTACCAATTAAAACAGCTACCAAAACACCTTATGAGCTTTGGACTGGGCAACAGCCTAGTCTAAAGCATTTTCATGTGTGGGGTTGTCCAGCTGAGGCAAGGCCTTATAAGCCAAATGAAAAGAAATTGGACTCCCAAACAGTAAGTAGTTATTTTATTGATTATGCTGAAAGATCAGGGGATATAAATTTTATGATCTCACATTAAGGACAATTTTTGAGACGGGAATTGCTACGTTCTTTGAGGATATTGAGTTTGGGGGGAAGAATAAGATTAAGAACTTTATCTTGGAGGAAGAATCGGTAACAATTCCAGAACCGATTCAAACAATTACTTTTGATAAAGTAAGTTCGGAACCTCTACAAGGCATTGTTAATGAACCTCTTACTTAAGATGATTTGGTTGTTCACGAAGAACAAACTCAAGATCCTCAAGAACCTGTGCATCATGAGGCAATAACTTTGCGGAGATCCACTAAACAAAGAAGAAGTGCTATTTCGGATGATTACATGGTATTTCTTCAGGAACATGAGGAAAATAATGGTATGATGGAAGATGACCCAGTTAACTTCCGTCAAGTCATGCAAGGTTCTAACTCTGAAAAGTGGATTGAAGCAATGAAGGAGGAGTATAAGTCCATGCAAGACAACAAGGTTTGGGAACTTGTCCCATTACCAGAAGGTATGAAACCTATTGGTTGCAAGTGGATATTTAAAACCAAACGGGATTCTAAAGGTAATGTGGAAAGGTATAAGACTCGTATGGTAGCTAAGGGTTATACCCAAAAGGAAGGGATTGACTTTAAAGAGACTTTCTCTCCAGTTTCATCGAAAGACTCTTTTAGGACAATCATGGCTCTTGTAGCACATTATGATTTGGAGCTTCATCAAATGGATGTCAAGATGGCGTTTCTCAATGGCAACATTGATGAGACGATTTATATGGTACAACCAGAAAATTTTGTGCAAGGAGATTCAAAGAATATGGTTTGCAAACTGAAAAAATTCATTTATGGACTAAAGCAAACATCTCGTCAATGATACTATAAATTTCATCAAGTAATTCTCTCATTTGGCTTCGAGATGAATATTGTTGATGATTGTGTATATCACAAGCTTAAGGGGAGTAAGTATATTTTCCTAATCTTGTATGTTGATGACATTCCACTTGTCACTAATGATATAAGCATATTGCATGAAACCAAGAAATTTTTATAAAAGAATTTCGAAATGAAAGATCTTGGTGATGCGTCTTTTATATTAGGAATTCAGATACACCGAGATCGATGTCAGGGTATTTTAGGATTATCACAAAGGAGCTATATCGAAAAAATTCTTAAAAGGTTTGACATGCATGAATGTAAATCCGGGGATACTCCAATTGCTAAGGGAGACAAGTTTAGTCTCAATCAGTGCCCAAAAGGGAATTTGGAAATTGAGGAAATGCAAAATATTCCCTATGCATCAGCTGTAGGGAGTTTGAAGTATGCCCAAGTATGTACGTGTCCAGACATAGCATACATAGTTGGGGTTCTAGACAGATATTTAAGCAATCCAGGAATGGACCATTGGAAAGCAGTAAAAAGGGTCATGAGATATTTAAAGAGAACAAAAGATTATATGTTCACATACAGAAAGTCAGACCAGTTTGAGGTCGTTGGGTTTTCTGACTTGAATTTTGTAGGATGTCAAGATAGTTTGAAATCCACTTCAGGTTACATTTTCATGTTGCCAGGTGGTGGAGTTTCTTGGCGCAGTGTCAAGCAAACTCTTACAGCTTCATCCACTATGGCAGTAGAATTTGTAGCATGCTATAAGGCATCAAATCATGGAATATGGCTGAGAAATTTTGTCACAGGGCTGCAAATTGTGAAAGGTATTGAAAGACCACTTAAGTTATATTGTGACAACAAATCAGCTGTATTGTTAAGAAAAAAGTACAGAGTGGACAGATTTCCATAGAATACTTAAGGACAAACTCCATGATAGCAGATCCTCTAACTAAAGGACTTCCACCCAAGGTCTTTCATGAGCATGTTGCTCACATGGGTGTTTTACAATTTGAGGAATATGTGGTTTAGTGGGAGTTAGTCACTTTCATATATTTTATGTTCTATGTTTAATTTCATGTATGTATACATTGATTTTTTAGACATATTTGGTTATCTATAGATATGCAGTTTTTCGTTCATTCATTACATTTTGTACATTAAGGTTATTATA